CAAAAGATTCTCAGACAGACTGACAGAGAGGGAGACAGATGATAGACAGATAGATAGATAATCAGATAGATATTTATATAGATCGATGATAGATAATTAGATAGCAGAGCCACCCAGGCGCCCCCGATTTTTAATTTTTTGAGGAAGCTTCATACTGTTTTTCATAATGACTATACCAGCTTATGTTCCTGCTAGCAGTGTATAAATGAACCATGTAGTTCAGATCTTTAGATCAAGAGACTCTTTGCTCATAAGCCCCACAATTAAACAAGTGAGGTCTCTGAGGTAGACAGATCTGGACTTGCCTCCCTGGGCATGTTGCATAAGCAGGCTGAGTCTTCTCTTACTCACCTGCAAATGGCCATCTCTCACACGGGGGTCAAATGGAGTAAATCAGATAAGTCCTATAAAGCCCTGAGCAGAGCTTCGCCATCACTATTAGCTAATGGTCTGACTGTGGCCATAGTTTCCTGAAGCCACAGGGGTGCAGTGGTCACTTCGATTTCTAGTTCGCTGACTGCTACATGTTGGGTCCTCCCTCCAGTAAATTTTCCTCCACCTTGAACGTCCTCACATATGCTTCCTCCAAAACATTTTGTCCCAGTGAGTTCCCAATCAGAAAGATCAAAGCTCTCCTTGGTCATGTCTCCTTTCCCCCCAACAGGAAACCAGCATAGCTGAAAGTCACTTGCACTCACCAGGATCTATTTCCATTCAGATGTGCAAGTACGGACAAAGGTACCCCTCGTCAGCAGCGCTGTGCTTCACGTCCGCAGGAATCTGCAGTCAGCAAGCTTTGCTGCCCCTTGCTCCAAAAGCCACTACTTAAGATGGGAGTTTTGAATGGAAAGGAATATGAGCTTCATTCTGTTGGCCGGCCACCTGGGGAGAAGCTGGTAGGTAGACTCTTGTCCAAAGGCCAACTCCAAGGTTTCTGCGTGGCCCAGAGATTTTTTTTAAAGGGGTTTAGGGCAGTGAATTCATTAAGGGAGTGCAGTGGTCTGTAATATTTCTTGATTCCGTGCAGACTCGCTAGTGCCGGCTACGGATGTTATTGCGGTGCTCAGAAGTTGTGCAAGAGATCTGGTTCCTTGGTGCCCAGCAGGTGGTACAGGAGAGTTTGGTGAGGTGCAGAAGTACTCCGCTCCTTCTATCAAGAATGCATGATCGATCTATGGATATGGGAAGAAAGATTTAGTTAATCAATCACGTGGGCTTAAAGACTACTAGGTTGGCCAGGGGGCCGAGGCGGCTTCCAGCTCAGGCAGACTTCTGAGCAGCAAATCAGCCTTCCAGGACACTGTAGGACAGCTGGGCAGCACTCAGCCTACGACCATGAGTAAAAGGTTTTTTCTTGCATTGGTCTCTTGAAATTGTGTCTAGAAAAATCTCAAGACAAATTTTTCTTAAGTGCTAGATTTCGGCGCTGGCTTAAATATTTAATGTACCTTAAATCTAGATCATAATTGTTGCAGGCATTTTAAATTTTGCAGCACTTTTCAGATGCACACAGGCTCTCCCCAGTGGAATCTTTTAGAAATCCTAGCCAGGAAGTGGCCAGAGGCTGGAGCAGGGAAGAAAAGGCACAGGAGGCATTGGGAGAAGGGGGAGGGGCAAGTTTATTTCATTCTGTTGCAGGAAAATTTTCATCAGTTAAGGATGCCAACCCGGCAGAAATATTCTTACAAGCTTTTGTTTTCCTGTTTTTCATATGATAGGAAAAGTCAGGAGCTTGGAGTTATTTAATTATAATTTTTAAGGGAAGCATACTCTTTATAAGCTCAGCATTGGATGCCCTAATAAAGGATGGGCTGGATTTAACTAATTATTTTCCAAAGAACCGCAGTGGGGCATTAAACCAGAATTCACATCTCTGAGGTTGCCCAGAGCCTCCAGAGAAATTGGGCTCCATCAGTCCCGGTACCCACGCTTTCCTTTTCTGTTCTGTTTTTAATCTTCAGTGATCTTTTAAAAACAAACAAAATCCAATTAGAATCATGAAGGACTTTTTTCAGTATAAAGATACTATGAGCACGCTAAAGAACTTGGGGAAAATGCCAGCTAGTCTAAGGGGGAAAATTCAATTGTCTCTTATATAACCCACCAGGAATAAACTATTTCAACATTTGAGAGAGATATATGTGTGTGTGTGCGTGTGTGTGTGTGTATATATCCTTTATTAAGTAGATTTGGGGGGAAATCTTTTCAAAGTTGAGGGTATAGATTCCATACAGTTTCATCTTATCTTTTCACTTAACATTATATTGTGAGTGTTATCAGTAAAATTTTTCAACATCATGAGTATCAAGGGCTTCGATAATGCTGGAAAATATGGATGTATTATGATTTCTTCCTTCCTTCTTTCCCTTTGTTCTTTCTTCCCTCCCTCCTTCCCCCTTCTATTCCTCCTTCCTTCCTTCCTGATTCCTTACTTTATAATCAAATTTATGCATTCACACCATTTAAATAGTCAACATGATCTACAGATTTAGAAAAACAGCATCCCCCAACCCCCACCATATTTCCCATTCCCCAGAGGCAACCAGTAATTCTTTTAGTGACTATTGTGCTATTTATAGCCATATACTTAAATAACATGATTATATTGGTAGTTCTTGATTTTTAAATTTTAGCCAATATCTATTTGTTTTCCACCATTGAACCCCCTCCCCAACACACCACACACACACACACACACACACCTCCTCTCCTACATCATCCCCTCCCAATATCTCTTTGTGACTTTGGTTGGATCAATATTCAGTATTTGGATTATTACAACCACACAAACCCTACTCACAGCTGAGTCCTGTCTTGTTCTCCCATGACCTTTCTTTTCCCATATTTTGTTTCATTTTTTCTGAAGTTAAAGGAAACAAACAAACAAAAGTGGTTTTGTTTTTTGTTTCTTTTTTTTTTAGGTTTCTAAGTACTTATCACCATCTCAGCCCCGAGCTCTATTCTAGTTGAACAAAACTCCTTTCCATATTTTCAAACCTGAGGCGAGCTGCCCTTGTCACATTTTGGTGGCAATCACTCACAGGACCTTTGACCTACTCCTGTCTACACTGGCTGCACTCCAGGTCGGTGGGGAAAGTATGGAGTTATTTCCTTCTCCCTCCCATCTTATGTAAGACCTTCTTTTGCGCTGCGTCCTGTGTTTCCCAAATCCCATTTCTTCATTTACTACCTGGGTTTACTCCTAATTTTGAGGGGGGCATCTCCTCTCAGCTTCGTGAACAAGTGTCTGTAACGTAAATTTTTGCTTACGTGTTTGAAAAGGTCTCCGTGCTTTCCTCACATTTAAATGATTATGTGGTGAAATTTAAAATTATTTTCCCACAGCTTTTGGAAGGCATTTCTCCATTGTCTTCTAGCTTTTCGCGTCGCTGTCGAGATGTTCAACATTTGGATTCTTGTTGTGTTATATACACCCTTTTCCCCCTGGAACTGTAGAATTCTCTCTGTCACCTGTATTCTAAAAGCTTACCATCAAGTACTTGGTAAAGGGTTAGTTTTTTATTATTATTATTTAATAAGGTCTTATTCTTCAAAATGTGCCTTTGGTAGGATGTGTTCGAGCATCTTCGCCAGTACCTGGGACACCCCCACCCTCGGTGTTTCTGGTGTAAATGACTTCAGCTCTGTGCTTTGAGACCAGTTTAATATAGAAGCTCCTGGAGGGCTGCCCTGGCCAGGGAGTCCTGATTCTCTCAGAAACAACCACTGGGGGTCTAAGCTTATAGTTGGGAACTTTGCACAGATATGTCACTTTGTCAAATGACACTGGGTTATTGAGCTTGTTCTGAGCTTCGCCTTTGGACCACTTGTTTCTGGCCTTGCCCCCAGATCTGTGCCCTGGATCTTTGTCTTTCTTAGCCAACTTCCCGGCATCTCTCTTCTTGACCTTGGGCGGCATCGAAAAGCTCAGGGAGTTAATGCTCCCCCTGCAGCTCGCTAAGATGTCCGACAAAAGAGGCTAATAAACTTTAGCCTCTTTTTACCATGTGGAAATTTACAGCCTTCCGTTCAGGGAAACTTTATTGCATTCTTCTAGAATGTCCTTTCTTCCTTTCATTTCCCTTGTTCCATCTAGAACTCAAATTTTTCAGATGTTGCTCCTCCAAAGCTGTCCCTCTAATTTTCCTGTGTTATATATCGTATTTGTCTTCTTTTTATCTAGTTGCTGTACTATTTAAAAAAAAATTTTTTTTTTTTACCATTTTTCCTTTCAATCTTAATCTTCTGAGTTTTTCACTTAATTTAATTGTTTTAATTTCCAAGACTTCTTCCATGTTCTTTAAATGTTTGGGGCTTGTTTTTTAAAAAAAAACATTTGCTTTTATTCCATGGATGCAGCATCTTCTCTCGTATCTCAATTTATCAATGACCCTTTATTTGTTCTTATTCTTGTTGTTTTAAGTCTTCTGCTCCCTTCAGGACAATTTTACCATGTGCTTGTTTGGGCCACTGTCCTCCAGGTGAGAGGCCTTTCCTAAAATATCTGGGGATCCTCTGACGCTCGTTCATGATTGAGAGAGAAACACTAAAAAGCCAACAGGAAGCCTGGAGCACCTGCAAGGTGACCTCACTGCCCCATTTGACGAGGGACCCCTGATGTCTGTGTCCTGGACTTCCTCAACTTCCTCTGTAACAGGCTACTCATCCCTTGCCTGGAAGACATAAGCCTGGCTGCCGCATTTTTAGAGCTGACTCGGGAAGATGTGGTCTCAAAACTCCACATGCAAACACTTATTTAACTCTCTCATTTGCCATATAGTACCCAAGGCGTCCAGCTGTGCCTATAACTGTAGTCCAGGACCGTCTATTTTATCCTCTGTACAGAATACACTACAACCTTCTGCTACTTTAGGGGATGGGTGTTGCAAGGACCAGAGGCAGAGTCTATGGGATCAGTCTTCCTGTTGAAACAGAGCCTGACTAGACTTGGGTCCCCTCAATCCTGATCGGAACCCCAGTGTTCCCGGACAGCTGAAACCATGCCCCTGAGTAGCACACCTTGCAGGAATGCAGGGGGCAGGCAGCTTACCAAAGGGGGGGCTCCACCAGGAAGACTGGTAAAGACAGAACCAAACCACTCTGCTCCGAGGTGGACCCCAGTGCTGAGCCTTGACAAACTTTCTCCCTCTTTATACTAAAAATCATGTCCATGGGTGGGGATTTAACATGCTAATGAGATATTTCGGTGTAGGTTCTGTCCACTGCACCTGCATGCCCAACTTCCTGTCTCCCTTCCCCACCTATATGTTTAGACATCACTCCTTTCCTGCCTCAATCTCTTTAAAATCTTTCCCTGGCCTTTGTTCTGGGAGCCAGCATGGAGGATCCTTTCCTTTGTGCTGTTTGCCTTATGCTCGGGCATAAGCCCCAATGAAAGACTTGCCTGGAGCTTCCTGTTTGGCCTCTGGTCGTTTTCTATTGCTGGAGAGCCCAGGGACCCCAGTTCATCCCTACACACACATACACACACACACACGCACACGCACTTCTGCAGCACTTTGTGCTGCTAACTCCTGAGCCTTTGGGGAATTCTGCAGTATCAATGGGTTGTTTCTTAGGTTCCCCCACTGGTGGCAGAGTTAGCTTTCCCATGTTCCCATGTTTGGTAAAACCAATCCCCACTTGTCTAGCTGTGTCAGGGTTTCCAAGATTCTGCCTTCTTTGTGTTCTCTTTCCTTTATGGTTAGAAGCCTTCACAGACCATGTCATCTTGGTAGGATTTGAGGAGGGAGCTAAAACAGTCTCATGTGTTCAATGGATAGTCTCATGATACCTTTAAATATTTATTTTCCACCATCACCTAAAGTTTTAAGCAGTTGTAACTGATCCTGCGATGAACACCCCTTGTTCATAAACTTGTGTGGCAGTCAGGGTGCAGCCAGAGAAGCTGAGGCAGCAGGAGATATACAAGAAGAGACATGATGCAAGGACTCAGCCTATGTGATGATGAGGGCTGGCTGGTCAAGTCCAACTCCACAGGGCAAACCATCACAAGGAAGGCAGACCAGGACTCCAGGGCATGGGTGTCAGTGGCTGTCCACTGGCAGAATTTTTTCATCAGGGAGCCTCAGCACTATCCTCGAGCCTTTTGACTGATTAAACCAGGCCCACCCACGTAAAATAAAATAAATAAAATAATCTTTCTTACTTAAAATTAAATGCTTGTGGACTTTATTTTTTTTTAAGATTTTATTTATTTATTTGACAGAGAGAGACACAGCGAGAGAGGGAACACAAGCAGGAGGAGCGGGAGAGGGAGAAGCAGGCTTCCTGCCGAGCAGGGAGCCCGATGCGGGACTCAATCCCAGGAACCCGAGATCATGACCCGAGCTGAAGGCAGACGCCCAACCATCTGAGCCACCCAGGCGCCCGGACGGGCACTTTTAAAATGGGGAGAAAAGTATTATGAACGGGCTAAGGAGTGTTTTGAGAAGGTTTTGCAAAAGAAACCCACCAATCCAGAATTCTCCCTGGAACTGGCCATCACACTCTACCGTCTGGGTGACAAAGCACCAACAGAGAACACCATTTGCCTGCTGAGGCGGGCCATCCGACTGAATCCTGACAACCAGTATATTCACGTTCTCCTGGCTCTGACTCTCCAAAAGACCCAGAAACAAGCTGAAGGAGATAAGCTAGTCGAAGAGGCCTTGAAGAAAATGCTGTGCCCAACGGACGTCCTCTGCAGCGTGGCCAAATATTACCGAAATAAAGGTACTCTGGACACGGCTATCGAATTACTTAAAATGGCTTTAGAATCGGTACCGAACAACGTCTATCAACATCTGCAGATCGGATGCTGCTACAGAGCAAAAATCCGGCAAATACAGAGGTCAAGGAGGTACGCCACGAAGGAGAATGAAGAAGAGCTGCAGGAGATGACGAGACACGTGGTGGATCACTTTAAGAGAGTTGTCGAGTTGAAAATTAACCTTCCCCACGCCTGCTCCGACCTTGCCTGCCTCTATGCCATCATGGGCCAGTATGATAAGGTGGAGTATTACTTCCAGAAAGAATTCAGTAAGGATCTGCCTCCAGCAGAGAGACAAGTCCTCCACCTGCGCTACGGAAACTTCCAGCAGTACCAGCAGCTGTGTGACGACACCGCCATCCATCACTACCTGCAGGGCTTGAACATCAATGGGACAGTGACCGAGAAGGAAAAGCTGATCGTCAACCTAAGAAAAATTGCCCACAAGCGACTCTCTGAAAACGCCTTCGATGCTGTGGGTTGGCAGCTCTCCAGGTTCATGCACGAGCTGAATAGAAAGGGGCACCCGTGGGACAGTCCACCCCCAGAGGCCGCCCTGCGGGCTGAGAAGGGCAGTGAGGAAATGACGGAGGGCGCAGGTGGGGCGGAAGGCCCTAGAGAGAGCCTGTAACCAGTCCTCAGGGCTTCCGAGAGAGAAGAGCCAGAGCGAGAATGAGAGACGGGGTAGGAGGCCTGGCGAGGTGGTCACAAAGGGGAGGGAAACGGGGACACAGAGAGACAGAGAAGCCGCAACTTGCAGGAGCTGGGCCAGATGGCTGGGCTTTTCATTTTGCTGTCTCTTTTTCCGGGTTCCCAAAATTCTCTCAGCCAGACCTGGAAATCCAGAATGACTTTTCCTCTGTCCTATAGATACTTTGAGCAAAAGCTCCTTTAAGGGCAAGCACTTGCTTTGGGACCATGGGACTCTGCTTTAGTCTCAGTTTGCACCCCCCAGCTCTCGCCCAGCGCCTTGCACTCAGCCAGGCATACAGGAGGCACTCAACACCGCTGACAGAACAAGAGAACACAACATCACTGAGGCCTGGTCCTCTTTCCGTGCTCCTTCTGCTCCCAAATGAATTCCATACAAACCAAAGATTTAAATGTTTAAAAAATAGAAATCACAAAATTTCTACAGGAATTCTTGAGAGGGTTTTTTTAAATCACAGGGTCTGGAAGTTGTAAGTATGAAACAAAACACGAAAGGGCAAAAGTATTATGAAATTCAACCACATTAAAACACGCTTCATAGAGGAGGGACCTCCGGAAACTCGAAAGATCAATGACAGACTTAAAAATACTGTTTCAATACATTACCGGGTAAAGGATTAACTTCCTTAATGATGAAACAGTTCCTTTGGACAAATGGGCAAAGGTCAGGAAATTAAAATGGCTTAAACACGTGAAATGATTGTTAATGTTGCTCTTATTAAGAGCAAAGCAAACCAACACTATTAAGAGAGGTCATCTCAGGTCAACCAAAGAAACACCTTTCAGAAAAGGGTACTAACAAGGATGTGGATAAACAACCTCCATCATGCATCGCCAATGAGATTATAAATCATGCAGATGGACGGCATTTGTTGATGGCAGTTGAGCATTCATGAATCTTCACCCCAGCAGTTCCACTCATTAATCTATCCTGTATTTGCATATGCATGCAAAGACATGTATAAAGATACTCATGAAGCTTTGTTTATAATAACAAAGGAGTGACAACAACTCAAAGGTCCATCACTAGAGGACTCGTTAATTCAATTTTCATATTTCATACACAGAACAGCATGCAGCTATTGTAAAAACTAGTAAGGCGGTTCTAAATGTAAAAATAAAGAACACTATCTCTGAGATATATTAAAAAATAAAGAATAAAAGTGCAGAAGAGTGTATACAGCGTGCTAACATTGTTCAAAGGAAGGAAGGGTAGGAGGAGGGAAAAAAAGCATATCACATTATGCATAGACTATTTGGAAAAGGATATATTTCCTCTAGGGTAGCCTCCAGAGAGGGAACGGGCTGTCTGGGAGTCTGTATGCGAGGAAGATTTATATATTTCAACTGCATAGATTTTTAAATTTTGAATTTGATACCCAGAGCATATATCACATTGTCAAAAAAAGTATGCAACAAAACAAATTCAAAACAAAAGATGGTCACGCCAGAGTGCTGTGACCATCCCACTGGTGTCTATTCAGCAACTGGTTCCTGCTGTCCAAGCCACACTAATCAATGTCTGAAGATCTCTGTACCTAATTGACGAGTCTCTGGATTCCCGGTCTTCCTCCTCTTTTTTCCAGAACCCGGAAAAAGAGACAGCATCTTTACTCCCACCACCCACCCACTCACCCCACCACTAACATGTACAACGTGTCCTCTACTCTCTTCGCTGATCCATAATGGTGTCCATCGCAACTGATCCTTGAAACTGTAACCATGTCCTGGACCTTTGCTCTGACTGCTCTCCTCCAACTATCCCACTCTGCTGTCTCTTTCGCCATCCGTGTTCAGGAATTTACTTTTTGTGCAACAAACTTTTCTCGAGCTCCTGAAAGCTGTCAAGGAATGTGATGAATGAGAATGTACCAAGATGAAGGTCACAACTCTAAGTTCGTGCTGCAATATTGTGCTTCTGTCGACAGCACACACCCTGTAGCTGTCTCATTTCCTGAGAAAGAGGGAAGATCTTCATCCACCCCGTGTGCTGCCAGGTTTGCAGGACTCCCCACGCTGCCCCCCGCTCCCCGTCATTAGATGGATGAAAGTTTAACCTTGCCCTCAGATCACAAAATCCAGAAAGTTCACGGTGACACTTCCCTTCCCTGACACTGAGGGGCAATCTTAACCAGTGTTGCTTGGCCTTGCATGTTATGGGGATCTCTGCCTGTAGCCCTTTAGTAACTGCAAGAGAAACCCAAAGGAACATGGCAAGTCTGGTTGGAAACTCAAGTAGCCACAGCTTTGCTTCCAGAGAGCTGGTGGAGCAGCCGGTGAGAGAGGTGGAAAAGCTCCTGCTGCTAAGTTCAAAGAAAACCAGAAGTCGGTATACGTGCAGAGACACATTTCCACACATTTCCTCTGCTGTCCCTCGTACCTTTATGTGGCCTTTTTCATTGCTCTTTTATCTATGAATGCTTCTGTGATAATCAACTTTTAAAACTCTTTATTCTCAGAATCAGACACTGACAAATATTTGAGGCATACTTTGAAGGCACGGCTTCATTGAATAAATGCTCTCCATCGAGGGATACCATCAACAAAGGTTCCATGTGCACACAGGAGTCTCTGGGGCCCAGAAGGTGAACACAGAACCCCAACCCGTGGCAGAGGACGTGGGAACACGAGAGTTAATGTCACAAAGAGCGTCCCAGGGGGTGAGCTGGGGATATGGAGAATGATGGCAAGGTTCTCATCAGAGAGCAGAATCTGGGTCTAAGAAAGAATCTTCCAAATGCCTATCCAGCAGACATTCACCATTGCTACTGACTTGTGACCTCTGAGCTTCCTCCAGGTTCCCTTTCTTCAACTGGGATGTTTCCTATGGTTCTTGTGCCCCAACAGAATACATAGGAGTTACCTAATCTTATCTAGTCTTTTAGGTGTTTTTCTCACCAGACCACAGGAAGCCACACCTTGTCCATTGAGGGGAACCATGCATCACCAAGAGTTCCCTGAGCATAGCTGGGCACAATGGTTGCCTTGACTCTGGGTTGACTCTCTTGGGAAAGGCCTGAGTATGTTCTGTGTTTAAGAAGAAGGGCACATTGTGGGTATTTAGGGTGTGAATAGTATTGAACTAGCCACCAACTCAGCTAGGTAGATAAAGCTTACGTCAAACATTCTCTACAGAGACAGAGAACAAAAAAGAAGGCCATTTTTTTCTGTGAATCTCAAGAAAAACCTGTACAGTTTTATTTTATGGAATTAAAAGAATTTTTACTTACGGTCAAAATATAATGTGGTTCTCACACTTTATAGCATGCACTAGGATTATTTGGAAAGTTCACTAACACAGAGATTCCTTGGCCCCACTCCTAGAATTTCTGATGCATTTTATTGAAGACGGAGCCTGAGAATTTGCATTTGTGACAGCTTCCAAGGTGAAACTAAAATTTCCTGGGGTTGATGGCAACGTGGGACTAGTGCATTATACCACTTTGTAGTGGATGTAGCCACGCAATGAGGAAATGCCTGTCCTCATTCTGAGAACAGCAAACAAGGATTCTCCCTTAGTCTAGGCTGAGACAGGGACAGCCTCAAGCCTACATTCTGGGACAAAGACACATAAAGAGTTGTAACAGCTTGACTAATCAGAACTCTTGCTGAGTAAGTTTCATTTTTCTCATCATAGACATATTACCAGAAGAGAGTTGGTTTTCTTTTCCAGTTTCTATTTTTGCATTCCCGTTGCATCTTCTAACACTAACCCAGCTGCCAGAGCCACCAGTGCAACCCTCTAGTGAACGTGAACACACCATACATAGGCTCTGGCCATACGGATTTCTGAAGGGCAACACAGTAGCTCCAGGCATTTCAAAACACAGCTAGCACGTGCTTTGCCCGTGCTTCTCCCCACCTGGTACCTTTATGATAAGATTTAAACATTTCTATCCAATCGTTTTCTTGAATGCAAATTCAAAACACCACCAAAAAATCCCCATACTGTTCCTAGTTTCCTTCTGCAGCATTTCTCGTACACCTAACATACATTTTTTTTAAAGATTTTATTTATTTGAGAGAGAGAAAGAGAGAGAGCATGAGCAAGGGAAGGGGCAGAGGGACAAACATATTCCCCACTGAACGGGGAGCCCAATACAGGGCTGGATCTCAGGACCCTGAGATCATGACCCAAGCTGAATGCAAATGCTTAACCGACTGAGCCACCCAGGTGCCCCTAACATACATTTCTATAAATACATACTAGAACTTGTAACTCCTGAATGACACCTGAAAGTAAGGGTTTCCAGTTGGGATAGGCTGGGCTGGGTGTCCCAATCAAAGGGTAGAGAACCGTCAAGAAGCATAGCTTCTGCTTCCGCCCCACTGCTCATAGACACAACCCGCCATCCATAAGGCTTTCTCCAAGACTGGACTACGTGCCTCAGCTGTACCCAGTGGTGCTGGAGAGTAGGCTTCATTCGTGCTCTGTGTAATTTCCCGACATCAGACTCCTAGTGCTGTTACCTCTTTTCCTCTGGGTCCACACATACAGTAATCCCTTTACGATCAAGGGTATGAATAAGGAAAAAGCAAAGAAAGTGCATTTCCTCCATCAAGCAAACTGCCCTGGTTGCAAATTACGATGTGGGAGTGCTGGACCCCAGGGTGAGCCAAGGGATTTTAAATGTTGTGGTGCTTGGGAAGCCCAGAATGTGTACAGGTGTTAGGAGCTGTTTGACTTACGTTAGCGCTCATGACAGATGGATGGTGGACTGTCAGGGGAGCTAAAGCTCTCCAAAAGGCAACATCAAAAGTTTCCCTTCTGGTCTCTTTGGTTAATGACTATAGCTATAAATTATTATTAAAAAAAATTGCATGCACTTATTATGTGCCAGACAAAAACCCCATATGTGCCCCTTACTGGGGTCTGCAGGCCATGCTGGTGATAAGGGCGGGCAGAGCGAGGATGGGTTA